GTTGCAATTGTTAAGCAGCTTTCATCCAGCAGTATTGTTTGTAGCAGCACCTGGTTAGAGGTGACTTAAAGCAGTGTTTATGAGGTGGTAAATGAGCACTAACACATATACTCAGAAGGTCCAAATAACAGTGTTCACTAAAATCTGCCCTCAGCAGACAAAGATCAGCCATGAAACCATTGCCACGTATATACAGTGCTGCCATACTGGACTTCCACAAGAGGAATGTGCCAACACCTTGGAGAAAAATCATGAGATGCTACTCACAGGTCCAGCACGATAGAACAGCAGCAGATGTTGATTGTGAAAGGTATTCCTTGCGGTAAAATGTTGGCATTACACTCTGTGGGAATTCCCAGTAAATTGCAATTTTTGTATGAAAATAACACTTTCAAGGATATAAACAGAAGTTACTAGCAATAACAAAACATAATGTCTGACTTCAGTTGCTGTCAAACATTTAGACACTTCAGTTGCTGTCAAACATTTAGACTCTTCAGTGTACACCTGTCTCAGTATTTGTTTTAGCTGTCACTCGGTAGGACTTTTACACATTTTATATTTCACTGCTGTTGATTGTGAAATATTTGCCATTATGGTGTCCTAAGCAAAGGTATTGATTGCTCACTCTTGCCTAATTTATATAAATAAAACTAGATTCCTGCTCATAAAAACGCGGTAAGCTCTCCAAAGACAAAGAGGGGGGAGGTACCTTACTAGGCCTGAGATGTGGCTTGTGCAAACCTCAAGAAGTTCAACAAGCACAAAGTATTCTTTAATTATCATTTAAAACTTTAAATCTGAGTGAACAAGCCCCAAAACCCATAAGAAAAAAGCCTAGTTTTATTACAAAACATACCTAGAAACCTGTATTTACTGTCAGCAAGCTGTAAGACTTCCTCTAGAAATTGCTCTAAATCTAGGCTAGTAATTGAAGTACTGACAGTAGTATGGTAAACAGACAATCCAAATGACACCCACTGAGAAAGTTTTCTGGTTAGAAATGTATCCAAAAAAATCAACTGTTCTGAGGCTATACAGAGATACTCCATAAGTAACAATATAGCCTTGCGATTTGTTTTCAGCTTTAGGGATCACATGAGCAAATAAACTCAGTCCTTTACTGAGGTTTAAGGGAGAAGGTAAACACAGATTTCTTTGTTATTTAATTCAGAATATTTCTATAGCCTGAATGAAACTGTAGCTCATCTACAGATGGAAAGACAAAATCTTTAGTCTCCAGCATTTCTGATTGCAATCTGACGTCTAATTTCTCTTTATATTCTCACTCTTGTGACATATCTACACAACAAGTATTTACCCTCTATAAAACAGGTTTCAAATAAAACTGAATTATCTCATGGGTAGTGATAACAAAAAACTAAGGAGCAAAATGACAGCATCAACTGAACAATTGAGACCTTATGATTGAATTCCTTGTGGGTCAAGAGCTCTTTCATCAAGAGCTAAAGTTATTCTTACTCCATATAGTATTTCTTCCATTGCCAAAACTGAATTATTTTATTAATGCCATTTTAAGGCATTCAGTTTCTCTGGATCACACAGAAAGCAACAAGATAGAGAATTTAGATAAAATAGAGCTATTTTATATCTTCAGCAGTTACCTTCACATTTAAATGCATAATTATATAAGGTTGGCATTTGGATGCAAAAATGTTCTCTTACCACTTCTCCAGACAACAGGGAGGTTTCTGTAATCACTCGAGATTTTCTGGTTGGCTTGTCACCTGCAGTGATGCCAGACATGAAGGAGAACAGCCAGCACCCATCTGTGACAGAGCTGCATGCTGGTGAGTTCAGAAACAATGGCTATAGAGAGGACACGGTGTGCTGCAGTAACAGTAGCTATGCTAGTTATCACAGCATTGCAGAAATAATAAAAAAGGTAGTTTTAAAACTAATTCACTAATCTTATCATGTGTATATTTGCAACTTCAATGAGTCAAGCACATAATTTATTCCTCTTTATTAGAAAGAAGGAGGGTAAAAAAAAACCAAGCCAACCTTCTTCCAGCTTCTTAACCCTGAATTCCCCCAAGACTATCTGAGAAGCTCCACAGGTGAAATCAGGAAATCACCCATTTCAAATTAAACACATCCTACCCCAAGGTGAATTATCAGGGAAGACACAAATGACTGAAAAAGAACTGAAAGTCTGTTTTTCCCCTTTGCACCATCTGGAAACAATTTCCATCTGGAGATAGCATGAACTTAATTTTACAGGGGCCTCCTCCTCATCAAACATATCGGTATGTTTACCACAATAAATAAGCATCTTGAGGAATTCTTCTTACTCTGCTTGTAGCCAAACAAAGACTAAAATAGGCAACATCATCACTTGATAACATTCAAGTTTAAACAATTTCATGTCCTTCCTCAACTCTTGTCCTCTCAATAAGCAAAATGTTTTTTGTGATTCTTACAACAGTAACTACACTATCAGCTGTGTCCCCTCACCGTGCTGCCCTGCTTCACAAGAGTTGCAATTTACCTGGCTTACACAACTCTTTCCCTTAGTCCAACAACCTTCACTGAACTACATTCAACTTGCCCCTTAGGATGTAATTCACCTCAGGGTATGTGTATTTTTTTTCTTTTGAAATGTGCGAATCCTGTACTGTTTGTAACACAGCATTGATTAGGGCTAAACTCAGGACCTGATTTACAACACTGCGGACCAGAGCCACGGGGGAAGGCTCAGAGCCCACCACAGAAGTGGTGTTAAGGGAGGCCAGGTAGCTGCACTACATGGCATATGGGATAACGTGATATATGATCCATGAGCAAGGCTGCAATTATCAGGGTCAAGGTGATCCAGCAAGAGCTGCTTCTTACAAGATTAGAACAGAAATGTAAAGGCAGAAGGGAGAACATACATACAAAACTTCAGTCAGTTCTTTGCTCCCACCCTATCAATAGATTTAGACAGCTTCTTCTGCATCCAGTGGACTGCAACCTGTTTGCTCGAAGTCAGGGTGTGAGAAAAGTAGCTTTGGAAATGTTTTGAAACGTGGTTCCAGTGTCATCTTTAATTTTTCATCTGCTTTGTCTTCAATGATTTCCTTCCTTTCTTTTTCAGACTGCCTGAGCTCTCATAAGAGTTCTCACATGGCTTATTCACTCTTACCCCTACACCTCTCTGTCCTGACACTTTCTGTGTCATCGCTCTCATCTATGTATTTCTTCTTTAGTAACTTCTCATTTTTATCTTGCCCTTTCTTTAGTAGGCTTTGAAATTAAAGTTTGTCTCAGTAGATCAGAGTTCCCACACTATCAGTATTCAAACTGGGCCAGAGCCAACATGATTCCTTGTTCCAGAGTTTGTACAGCAGATACTGAACTTTACAAGTACCTAGCACTTGACAGATATGAACTATTATCCCAGTTTAATGACTGTCACTGAGTAATAATTAGGATCAATGATAAGTTCACAGAATCATAGAATTACATTGGAAAAGACCTTTAAGATCATTGAGTCCATCCATTAACCCAGAACTGCCAAGTTCACCACCAAACCAAGTCCCTAAGTGCATCATCTACACATCTTTTAAATACCTCAGGCACGGTGGAACGACCCCACCCTTTCCTTGTGCAGCCTTTTCCAATGTTTGACAAACCTTTCACTGAAGAAATTTTTCCTAATATCCAATCTAAACCTCCCACGGTGCAAACTTGAGGCCATTTTCTTTTATCCTATCACTTGTTACTTGGGAGAAGAGACCAATACCTACCTGGCTACAACCTCCTTTCAGGTGGTTGTAGAGAGTAATAAGGTCCCCCTGTGTCTTCTTTTCTCCAGCCTAAAAAACCCCAGTTCCCTCAGCTGCTCCTCATTGGACTTTTTCTCTAGACCTTTCACCAGCTTCATTATCTTCCTTTGGATATGCATTTAACTAAAAATTTAACCTTTTAAACAAAATAATAGCCTACCAATCATAACCTGCTCAGGGTGCCAAGACATTCCTTTGTTATCTGATAAACAGAAACCTCACCATTCCAATATTATTAAATACATTTTCTACTCTTAGAGCAAAAGGCCAGGTTGGATGGGGCTTTGAGCAATTTGGTCTAGTGGAAGATGTTCCTGCCCACAGTAGGGGGGTTTGGAACTAGATGGTCTTAAAGGTTCCTTCTTACACAAACCATTCTATGAATCTATGACAGTGTGGTCTACAAAGCCCTAAAAACCTACACCTACATCTGAAGTCTTCCACAATAGTTTCCCAGAAAGTTGTTCTTCAAACCAACAAGCACTTTGAATCAATATAAAAAGCAAGGAAAGGAGTAGGGGCTGACCAAGAAAGCAAGCATATTATATGGTATTACTGCATGGTAACATGGAAAGGAAGCTGGCAAGTCAGGAAAGAGTGAAATCTCCCTAATTTCTGACTCCCCAGGGCCACTGAGTCATAAGAAACTCTAAATCTTCCTGTTAAGGAGTACACTCAGTGCAGGTAGCTCCCTCTGCAGCTGCAGTACAGGCTGAAGGTTGAGCTCTGGGTGGCAGGAGCTCCAAGGCAAAAGGCCATCAACTGCCAACCCTTGGTATGACCAAGGGCACAGGGAGCTGTGGCACCAGCCAGGGGACCAGACACTCACAGACACAGCAGGAGTTGATGAGACACGGCAGGAGACTTTCGTAGCTCAGACTGTGAGGTTATAAAAGCCCTGGGTTTCCTTTGTTTGGGGTCCCTCCTTGGAGGCACCAGCTTGAGCAGTTATTTTGTTACTGCACCAAGATTAAACCATTTTAAGGATTGCAAGGTCTGAGACTCTGCTCTGGGAAACCTGAGGTAAAGCCAGTGAGGAAACCTGGTCTGATTGTGTGAGTGTGGGGTGTGTAGGGAGGTCAGGTGGCTTTGGTCCCAGTTCAGGTGATGTGGGTGTGACTGCCAGAGTGGCTCCTGGATAGTCAGAGAGAAAAGTTTCCTTAACGCTCCTTAAAAACATGGAACAAACTAGATAATTTTCAGGGTTTGAAAACGCTGCATCATGTGCTTTTGATCTGACTGAGGATCACAAAGAGTTTCCTAGGAAATTAAGCTTTTAAATTTTATCCTTATACAAGCATGCGCTAGCCAAGCCATGACAAATCCAAACGTAGAGACATTCTTTACTATACCTTTTCCATAAAAAAATAAAGATTTAGAAATATGGGAGAATTTGTAAACCAACTGCAAAATAAGATGCAAAGGCATGTGGAAAACCCCTTCATATTGTACAGATCTTCATGCACTACGCAGTCCCAAAGTCAATCCTAGGTTCAGGTGGGGTACACAAGCTTGAACGTAAGTGGCAACATTTTATTACTGTATATGTTTTTTCTTTTTAATTATCTGAGACTGCCTTAGCTCCTCAGTTCCATGAGCATATGGGCAAGATTCAGAAGGCAAAGAACAACCATCAGGATGATGAATGAAAAACCAACAGAGACGTGTTTTAAATGCTTCAGCTGAAAGGCGACGCTTCGCTTCAGGTTTAGTTTTACTTGATGGTTTCTCTTTTCTCCAATCACGAATGTGAACTCTCCCATTCAGAACTAAGATTTAAAAACAAACAAAAATGCAGCTGTTAATAGACAGCCATGGGAATTAAACTGGAAAATACTGCAGTGACATTCTGTGAATAAAATACACACGTATTCTAAAAGTTCGCCTATAGGTAGGCAAAACCAAATGAGCCATTTGTACAGAAACAGAAAGAAGTGCACAACAAACCAGGACAATATAGACACAGTATAAGGAACTATATGGTTTTACCTGAGAGATGTTTTACTGTGATGCTGAATAGTTTGAGGCACCTTTGTATTGTCTTTGTAAAAGTTTGTTTGTTCATTTTAAATATAGCAGAGTCATTTAGACTAAAATCCTCTGAATTCAGATTACAAGCCCTGACGAAGTTTCAGCTTCAAGAACTGTAATTCTTCTGGTGCTCAGAACTTTACGACTCTACATTAAAAATGTGACTACCAGCAAGAGTCTTCTACTAATTTCACTACACAGTTCATTGACCCAAAAACACACTGCACCAAAGAGAAGACAAGTCTAATCCTTCAAAGGAATCAATAGCACATTATCATTTGTTAATAAAGATTCAGCACTTCAGGTTTTTTTTAAAAATCATTTGCTGTTAGGACCATAAACTGCACACACATACACACACACACACTTTGGAACCTCTGTCAAGTCCTTAAATGTGTAAAGAAAAGGGAATAAAAGTAAGTTAGGAAGGCAGGAACAAAAAACAGATGAAAGGAGGAAGTAAGAACGGATGAAAAACAACAGCAAAAATGAGGACGGGAGAATCTGCCACTTGTAAGTTGCCATGCTCTGTTTTCATATTCTGCTTCAATCACACCTTATGTATCACACCCTTGTAGCTTGGAACAGTTAATCAATGTCATTCTGCAGTCTGATAATTGCTATTCAAAAGGTAACAAGTCCAGTCAGTGAAAGCTGAGTATCACACATTCAGGCCTGGACGAATTCATCCCTCCAGGTTTCCCTGTGATACACAGAGAGATGTGAACTCACACAAAGCCAATTGAGAAGCAGACAAGCTTTAAAACCTCCCTGAACGAAAGAAGAAAAATGAGCAGATATAGTGCTATATATGATCAAGCATAATTTTTCCCTAGAAAATCAATCCTGTATTGGACAAGATGCCTGATCAAAACAAAACCATCACGGATCAATTACTCATAAGTCCCTTTTTGCGTGTCTGTGCATGTGCGTGTGTGTGCATCTGTCTTTCATGTTTTAAAAGAAAAACAATTCAGTAAAGATGACAAAAGAGCTGTAGCCATGTTCTTCTTTGTCCTCTTGGGCATGAGCAATATCCTTCCAGACCACCTGCTGATAAAAGCTTCTTGCTATGGTGACATGCACCTGAGGGAAAGAATCAAATGGTCTCTACTGAAGCCGTGGGGAGTATCCATGTGATGTAAATTACTGAGAAAGATCTGGCCTTAATCCTAGTCTCTCTTCAGAGACAATGTGCAAAAAGCATCCATGCAAATTTAAATCTAAATTGTAAATCTATTCCTAATGACAGGAATCAAATTCAAACACATAATGAACACAGTGTGATCAACTCTTTTTAACAGATGGTAATTCAAAAGTATTTCAGTATGGATTCACGTTTTATAATTGCCAAGTGTACAGAACTCCTTAGCGGATACTAAACTTAGCAAAGTTAGCCACTGGCAGCAACTAGATTGCATACTCAAGATTACTTGCCACGGATTAGTTGATCAATATTTTACAGCTGAGCTAGAACTGTTGGGACTTAATGCATTTTGAAATTTGAAGCAGCTTTAATACTGATAAAAACCTTGAAAGTAAAGCTACACCTTTACTTCTGCAAAACTTCACACTGACAAAAAAACCCAAACAACGAAACAACCGCACAAAACACACCACCATCATATTACAGCAGGGGGAAAAAAACCCCCAAAAACCAAAAAAAACCTGCTAGGAGCAAACCCAGCCAACCAGAGACTTGCTACTGAGTTCTTTCTGCCATGCTACCATAGGCTACATGAACACATTAAGCTCACAGTTACAGGTTCTCATGGAGGCTAGTTTTATTTCTTGTCACCATTTACACTGTGGGGCTTAGTAAGGCCAGTCTGTCTCAGTTAAATGCTTCAGTGAACATGCTGTGTATTTGACAGCCCCAAAATCATCAATATTTCATAGGAAAAATAAAAATGCTCCAAGTCAAAGAATAGCATCAAATTAGCCACTTTAACAAAAGGGCTGTTTTTTCAGATACAGTCGGTCTAGAAGATTTTGTTGATAGATGGGCACATAAAGAATATTCGGTTTTCCACAGAGGTACAAAAAGCAGTTAAAAAGCCACCATCATAGTAATTTTTCAGTTAAGTTTAGTTGCATAAAGAGGAGATAAAATAAATGATTACAGAAAAACAAAACCCAAAACTTCTTTACCTTCAAACACTTGATGATTGTTCTTCAGTAGTGTCTGCAGGCCTCCATATTCACTCTTTAGCCTTTTTAATGTCTCTTTATTTAAGTGTTCTGCCACTTCTTTCAAAGAAAGGCTTTCTGCAATAAAAATGTAATGTAAACATTAAAAATTTACATATATAAAACCTTAAGAAAATTTAACTTATATATTGGGTAATGATTATGAGCAGAATGTAAGAATTATCTACCGGTACTGCAGCAACTTTGTTCTTGCGATATTGGGTATGACATATATTTTACATGTACATTGTCTGCAAAAGAGCAGCTTTCATTCTACAGAACTCAAGACAGAATTTCCACAGTAAGACACTTTTCATTTTCCCTGCTTTTTTTACAGTAGCATGTAGCCCTCATCGCAATAAGCACTGTTTATAGGCATGTAGTTAGAAGAGAGAATAAGAATTCCTAATCATTGTAACCAAATGGCATTTCAAAGCACTTCTTACATAATTCTTACAGAATTACAGCTAATTATCATGTGAATATTCAAGAACTTAATATTCTCCGCAGACAGATGCAGTGTTTTGTTTTGGAAAATGGGGAAGAGTTCTGGGGTTTACTTTGGTGTGTTTCAATAAAAATGGATTCTCTAATACTATTTAAGTGTAAATCAGAATAAAAGCCTCACACCAATTTCCAAATATTCTTCTATGTGCAATAAAACACAGCAGAAAAAAGCACCTTTGATTGCTACTGTACCTGTTTTGGTATTTCCTAACAATCTATTTCACTTACTGAATTTACAAACATATGAATTCATTGGAAAAGACATGTTCCACCAGCAAAAGACAGTGTTAAAGAAAGACAACCTCACCTCCTTGATTCCAAGAATTCATATTTCCACCCTGCATATTTGAATATGATTTTTGGGGGGTTGCATTTAACAGCAAGTTTGCCACATTGAGAACCACTTCATCTACAAACTCCCGAGGGAGGGAAGCGCAGTTTCTGATTTGTTCCACTTTTTCTCTGGGTTGAAATCCAGGCATCCAAGTGGTACCAGCTGTCTCAGTCTCATCTGCAGGAAGTTCTGAGCCTGCTTCTTCACACACACCATCACAGTGGTCCTTATGATTAAATCCAACTCTTCTGTCACACGTGATGCCAGTACAGGTCCGACGATTGTTAATAAACTGTGTTATCTGCTTGTCAATCAGAGCAGATTCTGTAGGTGGATAGATCCTATTTTTTCCAATCAGGCTTACCTATTTTAGTAGAAAAAGGTAAATCACTACACAGAGTCTCAAACTTACACACAGTCCCCCAACTTTTTCATGTTTCTGCAGGTTTCTCACTGCCTACAGGAGATACCAATGCAAACACAATGCTCATTAACATCTGAGGTACTTTTAATTCTAGTTTTTGAATACTGGTGCCACAGAAAAAAATACAGTAAACAAATCAAAATCAATCATGCTATACAATCACAGAGCAAAAGTAATTTTCCTGACCCTCAGGTTATTTACGAAGTTAAAGCTGGACACCTCTACCTGAGAACATTGCACTTTGAATTTCACCGGATTTGAAAAACTGCAAAATTAAGTACAAATTAAGTACAAATAAACAAGACAGGCAGGTTTTTTAAGTTTTCCATCCACATAGTGGTATAAGAAAAAATCATGAAACCTTCCATTCCTTCCTGTTTTTAGGTTTGTACCTATGACATTAAGAGCAGAATACCCAAGAAAACAGGGAGCATTTTCAGTCTCTCTTCAGAGCATATTGTATCAAGTAATGCAGCTGACTATGGTCTGATCATACAATAACAATGAACAAACATCCACATGCTTCAAACAGCCAGCAGATTTAAAAAAAAAAAAGAAAAAAAAAAGGCAAAGCTCTACAGAGTCCAAAATTACCCTTTTTGTTGATGGAATTCTAAGGCAATCTTCTTCTACATGAAAGCCGCATACAAATCCCACTTGGGCAATAAAATCTAGATATTCTCTGTACTGAGTTTTCTTGCTTTGTCTTCGGCTGTATTTTCCATGGAAATCAAAGAAACAACATGGCAGCACAAAGTAGCAACATGAATAGGAAGACCTACAAGGAGGATAAAAAACTGTTGATGTTATTTCAGAAAACACAAAAATTTAACAAAAAAACTATCAGATAAAAGCAGTAATGAAAATTTTTATTAAGTGACAGAGCTTCATGCAATAATACTTATAACTTCCTCTTTCAGTAGATCTATTAGTTTAATCAAAAATATTATTTCATAACGTATCTGCTGTAGTAAATTACTGTGCCAAACTGGTTTGCAGAACTAAATTTCTAGACAGTAAACTACTGCTGCTGGTTGTAAAGAGAGGAACAGTTCAAGAGAAGGCAGAACCATAAGCTCTTATTTACAGAAAAAAACCCACAAAACCAACAAAAACCAACAAGAGATTCACATATATGAAGTTTTTGAACTTCAAAAAGAAAATGCTGCACTGAATTCTATTGCTTCTCCATAGGAAGAGAATCACTTTGTAAAAATAATAAATTGTCATCAAAAGAAGTGAGTCTTGCAAGGTGTGGCAGCAAAAGTGACAGTTTTTATCAAGCCCACATAGGTAATTATGAGGGGGTTGTTTTATTCCTTTTGCTTGTTTGGGTTTTTTAAATTCCTTCCCTCTCACTCCCCTTCCTCCACAAATACCTAGCTGCAATTACGGGTATCCATGGTGTTAATTCATCTGAATGGTTTCCTATGAGCCAGTCAGTGTCTGGAAAGAGATGACTGTCACCTGGCATGATTGTAGATTCCTAAAACACAAAACAATACATTAAGTGAATTCTATTAAAGCATTTTATTTGTTTATTTGTTAGTAAAGCATTACGCAACAATATAAAATATTAGCTGACAAATACAAGGTGAATGAGAATCACAGACACCAACAATGTTTTCCTCAATATGAATTTTTGCTAGGTAGTAATTTTTTATAGCTACACAGAAGTAATTTAGCAACAAATACCCACAAAACATTGGTCAGAAAAGGAGTGGAATAACAACTACGATTAAGATATGTGGCACCCTAAATATCTGTAAACAAATATCATACGCTGGATTACAATTTCTTGCCAATCACCTTCTGTTACATGTATGTCTGGACTCAATTTTTCAGGAAGTCACTTAATTTGCTATGTTTTACAGTCCCTAGGACTCACACAGCAATTAATCAGAACACAGCTGCACTGTTATCTTCTCTTTCACAGATGCTTCCCAAATCAAATCCTAACATACAAAACAACACTCTTCACATGCCTTCAGATATAATAAACCTAATCCAGCCTAACACTTTCTCCTCTTGTCTATGTTGCCATTCCACTCCCTTCCAAGTTGTGTCAAGATCACCTTATGATACATGTTAAACCAGGAGCAAAATTAGGAAACAATAGGTTACAAAAAGAATGCTTCTTTGGTGATCTTTGGAATAGTATTTTGCCTAATGGAAATTCGATATATATGAATTGAGAAGACAACAGCAAAGAAGTCTTCCTGCCACAATACTGACCCACAGAATAAACTCAAGAATATCCTATCCTGACATTCTTAAACAAAACCCAAACAAAAAACAAAAACCCCACAAACAATAACAAACAAACAAACCCCCCAAAATAAAACAAACAGGATGAATTCTTTATACAGGTTAAATTTCAAAAGTTCTAGAGTGCCTTTAATGTTTGTGCCTCACAAACATGTTTTCTCACCATAAACTAACTTCGGCAAAGAAAGTACTTAAAGTTATTAATACCATGGAAGTACACACTTTTTCCTGAAAACATGTATGAATCTTAATTATTGGGCAGATTTGAAACAAGTTTGAGATTTGAATTTCCACAGACCTTCAGGAAAAGTTCTGAAAATTATGCTTATACTCTTTTTTTATATAGAAAATATATGTTTTACAAGCTTAAAATTCACATGTATATTTAAAGTAGTACCTGCATAGGAATTTTAAGAACAAAACCAAACAAAAAACAAATCCAAACATCCTATTAAGGAATTTCAGAAATTTCAGGCTATCTCTGGTTACATTTCAATTCCTCCTTAAGGATCAATATGTGATTATTGTGATTATTGTTCACTTTAAAAACTACATCTCTGATAATTTTTAGTTATGTATATACATTTCTAGATAATGAATGTAACAAATTTCTCTCTGGCAGGTTACTAGATGTTAAACCAAGTCTTGGGTGTTTTCTTAAGGTTGATTGAACAAATTACTCATACTTTACATTTCAGTTTTGATCACTCAATTTAGGCACAGCATGAATTATCAGTGCCATACTCCACATTTTGACAGTCACCCATAATCAAATTTGTATTCACCCTATCTGACAGCAGTTTGGCAATACAGAGTGACACCTGTTACACTCCTTTATATTGCTAGTTCTCTACTAAATGTCACAGATGGCAATATCCATCCTGCAACTCATGCTTTAAGTAAAGATCAAAACAAAATAGCTTCAAGGTAACAACCGGCTGTGAGCAGGTGCTTTCTCCTTCTGTGACTCCTACGGCTACAGGAGTCTTGCAAAATCATTTAACCCTTCCTGCTCATTGTATAACTCCTTCCAGCATAAACCTGCACTTTCCTCATATGCACATTTTTTTATATTTTTAGTTTCTTTGTTTCTGTCTGGGCAAGAAAAGGAACATGTAACACACGGGAAAAGAGAAGACGCTGTTTGGCACTGCCAGATGTGACTTAATGTAGTATAACAGGTACGAAGGAGCTCCACAGCTTGATGTTTTGGATTGTTTCTTGAGGCATTTCAGTAAGATCTGTTTGCAGACTGCAGCAAAAGAACATGGCAGTTTTGGCAATCTGTACCCAAAATGGTGGGGTGGCAAAGAGAAGGCAACACAACATTGTGCACTGTGAAAGCTTCACCTCCCAGCTGTGTAAACTGCTGCTCTTTTGTTGATTTAGTGTAAGTTTTTAGCATCCAAAGTTATATCAAATTTAACTTTAAACAAAACTATTAGAGAATAACTGCAGGTGGGGAATTATTTTACTGTACTGGAAGCTGACAATTTTTGAGAGAACACAGTGAGAAATTTTAGAGTCTAGAGAACAAAAAAATCAGGAACACCTCACCTCCAAAGGGAAACTGCTCATTGGCACCACACTTTAACAAGAACGCCTGGAGTCAAAGTGAATGTTCCTGTGCTCAAATTGTTCCTGTTCTCATAAAAATGCTAATATGGAACTTGAAATATAATCCCTCTTTCAGACTCATTTTCCTGTTCATTTTTGAAGGCTTTTATATTGGCTCCTTTGAGGTTCGGCAACAATTTTGTCACCAAAACAGCACATAGCACTGGAAGGTCATCACTTTCAAGAAAAAGACACTCAAAATTTTCAATATTATTATCTTTTATGAGCTACAGTGGTGCAAATAAAGCTGCTTAATATTGATCTGCCAGTAAAATCAAAGCTTGTTTCATAGTGTGCATGTCTGTACATGCAGTAAGAAATCATGTTAGTCTTCCCAGCTGAAAATAAGCAAGTTGCAAATATGCAAGGGTACAACAGCATATCGCTCTCATAATTCCCTTTACAACTTACTTCACAGCCCCTCTGTATATGGATGGCATCATACCAAACCATTGGGTCACTTCAGACAGCTGCCTGTAACCCAATATGCTTCATTACATTTGCATCAATACAACCTGAAGCAATGAACAAAAGAATAAATTTACAAAACAGTAAGACTGACATACATTTGCATAATACCTCTAAATGAGTTTCTGGTCCATACATGTCCCATATTTTTCTTCTCCTCACATCAATTCCTCTACCTGAATGCTGAAATATTTGAACAACAAAGAGTGTCATTTCAAGTACAACTTTTAGCAGAAATTGTCAAACAGGCTCACTAAATGAACATATTAACAGTGATTATTTCATTCATGATAAAATTTAAGACATAATGAAACGCCGCTTCGTCATTTCAGGCAGAAGCTGAATACTTTTAATCCCTTCTTTCCCTTCAAAATATAAAGGGAATTACTTGGAAACCTTAAGAATATATCTGGTTAAAAATTTTATCAGAGCACACCTACTGAGACTGCTCTTGAAAATCTGGATCTCTACAAATGTAGAAGCAGAGGTATCATTTTTTGTTTGTTTTTAAAATATCAAAACCTTTTATAAGGTGAGTACTACTGTAGCTCCCACAGGGCTCAGAGAAGAGTGCTACTCTAAGCAGTCCTTAGTGGAGAACCACCTTTCAACTATCAAAGTCCAAACACATTTTTTCCTGTGTGAATTGAAGAGAAGAGGAAATAGACTGGAAACTAAAGCAAGAAATGAAGAATGTGTAAGTATTTGAACTTCAAGAACCTTGTGCAGAACTAACCAAAATCGATTACTAAAAAAGTCTCATAAAACTCTCATCCATGACTTTTTTGACAGTTAATGTTTGTCAGCACTCCAGCAGTGATGAAGTAATGATGAATGAAAAGAAACATCTACAGGGAAAATAGCACCTTGCAATAGACACAATTTTTCTGGCCACACAAGAATAGAAAGCTTGTGTTAGGAGAACTTGGGCCAATTTTGCTGCCAATGAAATTTATTGATCTAATAGGAGATATTAATTTCCTTTACAAAGTGGAAAATGCAATTCTCTGAAACAGACAGACCCAACTTCCCTCGGTTTTGTTTAGTCTCACTGACCTATTTTTGTTGTTGTGTCAGAAACTATGCATCAAGAAACTATGGAATTGCCACATTTTCATTCCCAAAAGCACAGCATGTTGTTAGGCATTTTCAATTAACAGATGTCAGGATTGTTTTTAAAGATATAGAAAAACATCTTCAGGACACTGCAAGTAGAATTCAATTCAAAAACAAGTTCATGAACACCATGTTGTGAGAGAGAATCTCCATGTCAAGATTCCACATTACTCTTTGCTTTTTTCTACAGCAAAACTAAATTAGACCATTATTTTTAATTTCCCCCCCTTAATTTCTTACCTCAGAAAAAACAGCCTTGAACTGACACAAAATGTACTAATAAAAACAGATAATAAATGAAAGGTTTCTAAAGCTCTGCTAGGATTTTCTCTTGGTAAGAGTGACAAAATCCTATTTTAGTGAGACAAATTGACTGTATTTTGGCTATTTGCACGCCAGATAAAAGGAAAGCATAATAAGAATATTGACTATCTCTAGTTTTTAATCATTATTTTAAAAAGCATTCTATTTACCCCTTCATTGTTTAGAATGTGAACCAGTAGACCATTTCCACATCCAAGATCTACAAATGACTGTTTCTTAGTCAACCCTTTTTCCTTTCTCTCTTCTTCCCAAAGAATCTAAGGCAAGAAAACAAAATATTTTAGATTTCTGCTCTCAAGTTTCCCTGAAAAAAGAAGCAAAAGGTTATTGGAAATTAAAGGAGAAAGCTGGGGATGCAGATGTGACAGAAAATATTCCCTGTACTCACAGATAAAATAACTTTAGAGAAAAAAAAAACAAAAAAACAAAAAAAAAAAACAACAGAAAAACATTGAAACCGTTTTTGGAGAGGGGCAAGAATTACGTTGCAAAATATCAGTTTCTAAGTGCTAAGCACATCCTCCACTCCCTCCTGAGTCACTAGAAGTTGAAATCAATCAGGCCTATACAACTCTGGGCTAGAACCAGCATAAATGTAAAGTTGCTAAAACAATGGGTGCAAGAGAAGAACAGTGGGAAGCAAGGGAAGGATCAAGTAAACTTCAACAATGTCTCTGCAATTAACACCCCGGAGGCGTTTATATCCACTGTATTTGTGGGGGCAGAGCTGAAAATAACTAAAATGTTCTTTGTAATCAGTTGGTGATATATTGGCAAATGTAACCTCCTTTTCTACTGAACAAAGCAACAGTGTTACCGAGCGAGTCAGCTGCCCCAAATTCTGCATCAGCTAAAGGGACCCCAAAGCTTTCACCAAAATTCTAGTCCCTGCTCCATACATTAGTAGTTACTTTTACATAGGTATGTAATTCATAATTAACAACTGGATATTTCCCTGCAGAACACGGATTAACCTCTATCACTGTCAAACTTTTTCCTTCAATGAGAAGTTACAGAGCACACGTTCATCAACTCTGCTCTCTCATTATTCACTATGATTAACAAAAATCTTCAAGACTATTTAACTATGAAAATTAATATTTGTAACATTGTCTCTTGTGAATATATCAGTTTTGCTAGAGGGAAAGAAGATGAAGATAATCCATGAGATTATCAGGCTACGTTTATGTTTTTAAATTTACCAATCATTGCACTTCGGCACTTTAGGCAGTATCCCAGAAACCCCTAATCATCGCCTATGTAGATCATACCTATCCTCCAATTCCTCCAGAGTTTTTCCCAATACAAACTGAACAGCTACTGCTTTGGTCATGCCCCTAGACACAGGTGATTGCAGAGTAAAATGAGGTCACATGTAGACACCATAAATCCATAACAACTTGACACTGGACCTACTTTCAACCGACTACTCTCAACCACTTGTTTAATGTACTTCTAAATAATGAGTTATTCTATAACATCATATAGATACCTGAACATTTAGTAAGGAGGTTAGGTTATTAATATCATAGTTTAAGTTTTCATTTATATAAAATGTATGTTGAATGAATTTAATAACTTTTTAAAAACCACTGCTACATCAGCTAACATATGTTATCACTGCAAACCAACATTCATGTGCATAAAAATGCTATCACTACAGAAATTTCTTGTGGTTACAATTAAATTCCTAATTTACAACATCTTATATTGACACAGTGGTAAAAATGGTAAAGATGAGTCTGTTACACAGCTCTTTCCACAAGCCAGTGTCTAAGGCTCTAAGGGGTTAAACAGTCAATTATCAAAATTAATTAGCCTTTAGGAAGTTCTGTAAATGATCTAACTTACTTACAAATACTGCTTTAAATAGATTCCAGAGGTAGAGTTCAAGGCAGACATGCTCTTACTACACTCTGGATGGCAGTAAAAAATATTTATGTGCCTATACAGCGACCCATTTTGATGCTTTTTATAAAACTGAAGTTTCTAGTGACTGCAGGTAGCAGAATTTTCACAGAATCTAAGTATGCAGGTGTCTTAGAAAACTGCACCAGGCATTCCCAGCATCTACAGTTGGCCTTATTACATTTGAAGATGAGATTTGAGTTGAAATTTTATCAGGGAAAGGCATAGCAGTGAAAAACCTTTAGCATAAAATTAATAAGTGATAGAAAAACATATGAAACAATCACTCCTGATCTCCAGTTGGTCCAACCAACCACTCCTACATCAGTGCTTTTTGCTTTATCACTTAGAAATAAATACATCTTGTCTGTGTAGATCATCAATTTTCTGCAACAGAAGACTGCAAATCTTTACCATATCTTTACAAAGAAGTTCTTGTTTCCTTCTAAACTGATTTTCTTTAGAGAGGTTCTGTTATTAGGAAATAGAACATTATCAGGCAAAGCAATTTCCTACCAGCAAGTAAGTGGCAATGGCAACATCTTCATAAACAAATTTCTCAGGATCTGTCACTTCAGGCCACACCTTCAGGAAAAAGAAACAGAAAAAAAATGGAGAAAATTTATTTTCTTCATCATCCGAAATAACTAAAAAATGTTACAGCAATCTGGATACTCGTGCACTCATCCACTTCAATAGGTTTCTGCACCTCACGAATTTTGTATTTTAACCTCATTAAAAACATACACAAAGAATGTAAATAAAGACTCTTTGATTTTGTGAGTCATACGAAAGAATGATGGTGTAAAGTATGTTCTCATCCAAACAATAAAGTTTCCAAGAACATTATGGCTCCATATGTGCAGGTCACGAGTAAACTGCTGCATCTGTTCTGTAATAGATCGTGTATGTTCTGCTTAACTCTCTCAGGAGAAAAATGCTTATATTTTTCCTGTGCAACACTGTTAACATGAATATTTATAGATTTCTTTTCACAAGATAACAGATATAGAATTACCCTGGCACAACAGAACACAAAGAATCAAAATCTGAAGTAGGAAGTCAGAAAGCTCAAGTATTATCCCCAAGCATTATTTTCTAAACAAGGAATTGAAACAAAGACTGAAATGCTCAACTCTACACTAATTCTACTGCAGATCTAAAGCCTGAACTACCAACTTACCTAAAAGACCAATTCTCCTCTCAAGTGTATCTTTCTGTTAGTACAGAAATATCAACAGCAAAACCTTCCAACATTTTCACAATATATTTTACAAAACACATATATAACACATACTAAGATATCATACAAATGTCAGAAGAGGATTAGGAAACTTAACCTGCTTGCTACCCAGTGCTGTTTACAGAGTCTTTCAGGTTTTGGAGAAGCAAGTGCTTTATTTGTGCCTTCTAATGTGGGTGACTTAGTATTTATTCCACTGACCTACTGCTTACTTTTTAAAATAAGAGATACATTCTCAAAAATGTCTAAGTCCTCCAAATATATGTTTTGAATTTGTCTCTAAATCTTGCTTTTCAAGTTCTTCCAAATACTGAATTTATTTAGTGACAGAAGCAGCTTCACTACACAAACAATGAAAAAAGTTATGAAAAGATATTATTATTATTGTATGTAGTGCTAAATTTACCTTTACCATTTCTTTGTATTTTTCTTTGAGGTCTTGATACACTTTGCTGTACTTTGCTACAGAAATGAGTGAGAGTGTACTTTTAAACTCACTGGGCTTTTGCTCCACAGACCATTTAGCCAGTTTGGACAAAAGTTCATTTCCAAGCCACGCTAGTTTGGGGTATGCAATTCCATCTGAAAACCAATCCTCTGGAAATGGAACTACAACAGACACAGACCTTCAAACAAACAAATAAACAATTTTGAATAAATACAGTATATTTCATTATTTCAGCTACCTCAAAGAGGGAGAAAAAAATGATTAAGTGGAGAAATCGGCAAATCAAACAGAGATATAAAATTAGACAGGAGAATAAGGAAATACATAATTTACAAAACCAAAAGGAAAATAAAACAATGAAGTTACTGAATAATGGGTTAACAGTCTCCGTTGAATTTTGTTAGCTCATTATCTGTCAATTCAAACACTGTACATGAGAGTCCATGCTGCATTTAACACAGTGAACGAGGACTCACATACGATGATCAACCAGATTTAACAAGATAGCCAAACACTAAGTAGCAAAAGTCAGTTTATGAAATTCAAGAGAAAAAGAAAAGGAAAATTTAGAAGAAAAATACATCCATTGGTACAATCCATTAATTCATCTTCTCTAACTTTATTCAGGTTTCATTAGAGCTACATCCTCAGATGCTCAGGACCAAGCTGCAATGTCACCTTTCAGTGACTGAAGCTCAGTGGGTTCACAGCAACTCCAATTTGACCTCAGCCCTACTAACACCCCCAGAACCTGACTTTTTTCACAGGCATAGTTAATTCCTCATGAACGGAATAGGCATATTTTTTTCTAGACCACACACAGCTACAGTCAATGTATATATTCAAAGTTGAAATAGCTTTGTGATACTTTGGGTGTTGTAGATGTTTCTTTTTACAGAACACTATGCACTCAGATCACAACACTACTGTAATTTACCAATCAAGCAGGAAATTACATAAACCAAATTGCCTATGTACCAATACCAAGCCATTGTGTAACTCTTGCAATAACTCACTGTTTGCTTTCCCTCTCAGTCCCAGCACTTACCATTCCTCATCTTTTATGTGTTTAAGTTGAATTTGATAAATATTGCACTTCTTAATCAGGCATTTTCCTTCACTGTTTTCCTCCAAAGGTAGAAAGGTCACAGTTCCATTGTAAACATCTGAAAAGATATGCAAACAGTGGAATATTATTCCATCCTGGTTCACACCAAGATGAACTTTTTTCTTCTTACTATGTTAAATGCAAACCAGTGAGATCTAGGACAACACAGGAAAAACCACAGTGCTAAGAATAAATCCATTTCTCAGTGTGCCTGACATCCAAAAACTGGATGGTTCAAATTCTCAAAATTTAGCATTCTGTTGCATGATATTTTCAAAATATCTAAGGCTGTCCAGCAAGAGTATTCATTTTATTTTAACCAAACTATTTTAATAAATTAAAAGCTAGCCAATGAAACTTTTCTAGCACAAAACTGCTGCTTTCCCATATCCCACAGTAAATCCAAAATCCCAGGAAGCAATTCCAATTAAACAGAGACTTACATATCACTCCAGTATTAGATAAACAATTGGTGCAATATTAAAAAGTAATCAATAATATTAAAAATATCTATCAAATTTGCCATGTGCAAACATGGGGTCTATTGCGTGATTATAATTAAGCATAGCTGTGTTTCCCTTTTGGCATCATGCAGCTTTCCCAATTTGAGTTCTTAGACTAAGCACTGTGAAAAAACACATTATCTATCCCTAAATTAGTAACTCATAACTCTGAAGGAAGACTGCCTGGGAAGACCTGCTTTTAGGTTAAGGTGCATGTATGATGTTCCTACACTGAGTGATGTTCAGCAACCACACTACTGATGGATTTCAAACACTAGAGATTTTGAAGAAGTGAACCTAAAAGCATTCATTATATTCCATATATCTTACAGTGTGTATGCACTACTGCTTTATAAACTAGTTGCAAAAATCTTTTTAGCTATTGTTTATGCAGGGTGATTTCCTCTGAATAACTTATTAAGTTCTCAGTTTTGCAAACGGTTTTTCAATTGCTATTAAAACAAACATTCTGGCAACCACAAATGCTATACTGGCTACACAACCAATTTTCAATGGGCTCCAAAGTTTTCTGAGTGCACCAAGAAAGAATAATTAGCAATAGAGGAAACATTAAGTCTTGCTGTCTTGTCCCATCTTTAGCAATCCCAACCCTGACATATTTTCATTTTAAACATATTAATTAAAAAAAAATTCTTACAGATAGGTTCTCTAGACATAGCTCAGGAACATCTTCTTTTAACATCAAAAGAAAAATTAAAACTGCAACATAGACTTTTTTTTTAAATTTCCCTATTTTTTTAAGGCAGCAAGGAAAAGGTCACAAGAGCACCCAAACACAAGAGTCACCCATATATGACTATAGGTCTTTCTGAATTGTAAATTTAATTTTTTCTGGAATTCTGATTCTTTTCAAAACATTACTACTAGAATTTAATCCACATCAACAGGTTTTTCCAAAATTTATCTTAAAGGAGATGTCAACCTCTATTAAAGTAAACTTTGTTTACTTTAGTAGGATTTACTGCAGCATAGTACAGTCATACAGTGTCAGAACAAAACAAAGGGAAAAAAACACAAATAAGACAAGTGCAGCTTCATTTTTAAGCAACATTAAACAAGAAGAAAGTTGATACAGTTAAACTTGGCCAGGCAGGTGACACAGCTGCCTTTTCTATTCAGTAACAAGGCTAGTGAAGGGACTCAAGCACAAGTCCTATGGGGAGAGGCTGAGGGAGCTGGGGTTGTTTAGCCTGGAGAAGAGGAGGCTCAGGGGAGACCTCATCACTCTCCACAACTACCTGAAAGAAGGCTGAAGCCAGGTGGGCATCAGTCTCTTCTCCCAGGCAACCAGCAGTAGGACAAGAGGGCATGATCTTAAGCTGTGCCGAGGGAAGTTTAGGTTGGACACTAGGAAGAAATTTTTTATGGAGAGAGTAATCAGCCATTGGAATGGGCTGCCCAGGGAAGTAGTAGATTCACCATCCCTGGAGGTTTTCAAGATGAGACTGGATGTGGCACTTAGTGCCATGGTCTAGTAACCACGGCAGGGTTGGATCAAGGGTTGGACTTGATGATCTCAGAGGTCTTTTCCAACCCAGTTGATTCTATGATTCCATGATTCATTTTCCACCACTATCATCAGTCCTTACAAGCCTGTAATTAGGTTTGCACTACAAGCAGCGTTTGTGTGTGGGCAGCCTACTCATGACGGGAGCTCGAGAGTCCTGCAGGTGTTCGACCCCTGTTAATTTGCGTTTCAAACTGCTGCCTCTTCCCAGCATAACAACAAAAGATAAAAATATAAGATAAAAATATAAGATAAAAGATAAAAATAAAAGAAAGATAAAAATATAAGATAAAGGGGGGCTGGGGGAGGGAAGTGGTATTTATCCCATCTGCCAGACAATCTCTGAC